TTTAGGAAGTTTTATATATGCATAATAAATAATTTCTGAAATTACCTGATTTGCAGTGGTTTCGACTCTAAGTTTCTTTGCCTCCTTATCCAAAGCTAGCCACTGTTGATTACCAAAGATTATGAGGATCAACTTGAAAATCTAAAAACTTTGAGACAAATAAAGCAAAAAGAAAGCTTAGCTACCTGTAGACTAAAAACCAAGAAAGCAAGCAGAAAAACTCACCACCCACCCAGAGCCTTGCAGAGCAGCGCCTTCTGCATTTATTTTCTTAATAAGATTCTCCAAGGAGCCAAAGTCTTGATCAATGGCCCAGCCAAGCGTACTGTGGGGAGGCTCACCACCTCCTTCCTGGAAAAAATTGTTCTTGTCAGCTAATGTACGGATAAAACATGGAAGTTTAAAAATGAATAAAAAATAATTTACCGTTGTAGGCTTAAGATTATTCCAAAATATAGAGTGATTGACATGGCCTGAAAGCACAAAGAAAAGATTCATTTTTAAAAAATAGTGAATATAAAAATCTTGCACGCTCTTAAAATCTCAAAGCAAAAGTACAAATTGAGAGAAGAAAGTACATCTATCTTCATAATCGCAAAAAAAAAAAACATACATACAAAAATTGATTGATTTGGCTAATTTCAGTTTCATTTACGAGTTTTATCACCTGCACTAATATGCACTCCGGGAAAAAAAAAAACGTGTGTTTAACTCTTTCTTTCTATTTTATTATATAGAGAACTTATACTGACTTGAAAACAAATACTGAAAAGAGTGGTGGTAAAGTGGAACCAAAAAAAAACAATTAAGATGCTTATTTAATTGTTAACCCGAGGCCTGTGAAACATTATAAAATCTATCAAGAAAATTTCATCTGATAAAGTTTGGTATGTATTTTAAATGGAAACCATGAAAACAAACAGTAGACGAAAAATCTCCTATCAAAAGCACTCACTACCCTATTGTTCTAAATTAAATGACGACTACATCAGTCACTGAACCACCTTCGGCCACATCGCTACCAAGTTTCACTTCTCTTGTGAATCCTTGATTGACTCAGCTCAAGTAAGGACAGCTTGAACAAGAATAACTGATTCAATAAATGCAGTTAAGCCTTTATATTCTCCCCACTGGTTGAAAAAATCAACGGTTCCATGTCTCAAGGCCCGTTAAGTTTTTAACAGCATCATAAATCTTCACCTCCTCAGTCTTATCCGGATAACTTGGAACAGCTTTTTTATCCTCAGTCTTATCCGGATAACTTGGAACAGCTTTTTTATGTGACGTTGTAAAAATTTTAACAAAAAAATATGAAAACAAATAGGAGAAGAAAAATAAAAGATTCTTCATGTTTTACTACCGGTAAAATGAATACTTTTGTCTGAGTAGAAATCAGCAGAAAAGATTGTACACTCAGTAATTTTATATTAATCATAACAAAAACTGACAAGTAGAAAATATTATATTGACCATAACAAAAACTGAAAAGTAGATAATATTAATTCATCAAAAAAGCATATGGCTTGGGATCTGATTAATGGAAAACTTACCATGAGTTGCTCATCAAAAGGATAAATTGAAGGCCAGATCACAAAAGAAGTAAAGAACGAAGCTTTAAAAATGGCCGGAAATATCATTCAAAGTCAAGGCTTTAAGCACAACATTCAAGCACAAATACATAACTTGGAGGCCTAAACTATTTTAAAACATTAGAAAATGCAATAGTTGGCATTGCTATGTTGTTACTAAAGAACAATTTGGTTCAGTGTTATTAAGATGCAAGTTTTATCTCACAAATATTTTTGGTCAGCGTAATTGTGTTAGAATATGTTAGTATTAACTAATACTGTTACTGTCTTGATTTGATATTACTTGGTGTATCAACTATATTGTTAGTGTATATGGGGGTAACCTTACCAGGTAACATTTAGAAATCACCTAATTAGGATTCAAATGTTATTTACACATTTGTTGTGTAAAATGATGAAAAAAGCAAACACCTAACATCAAATAGCAACACAAAATCATGTTGCAAATGTCAATAAAACACAAACAGACATAAATATTGAATCCAAATGATTTCTACTAATAGAAATCAGCAGAAAATTTTGTACACTCGCTAATTTTATATTAATCATACATAAAATAATTGATTGATTCCTAGTAGTTGTTTATTAACAGGAGTCCTTAAAGATATTTGCTCCAACAATCTTGTAGAAAACTATAAGATATTTAGAAGAGAGCATATAAATGAGATTATCTACAAATACACCGAGCACAAAATGATAATTTTCCAATTTGATCAAAGCTTGCATTTTTTTCAGTAGTAATATGGATTTTATTTGTATTGTTTTACTTGTAGTTTAAATACCATATGAAAGTATAATTTAGAAATTCTTGTAATGTATAAACAGAAGATAAAGGTCATTAAAATATCTATATTATATTTTACGCCAACCAACTGCAGAGATGCAAATCAATCTACATGGAAGAAAACCTTGAGCCTACTAATGATGTTGCAGCACAATGACAAAAAAAATTATGACCTTCACAATTCTATCCAAGAAAAAGGTTTCAATTTTCCGTACATCTTAATAAGTGACAAAATCATCAGGAAATTAACGAGTAGAGAAAATAAAATCGGCAAAAGTATTTAATATGGAATTTCAAACCATATTATCTAATGTTCTGAATAAACATCTACTCGATTTATACAAGAATAACAAGGTTCAATAAGAAAAAATAGATCAAAAATTCTATCTCAAACAAGACACTCTTTGATGGAGTTAATTGATACACCAACTCTTACCACTGTTAATAACATTTTTAGGAATTGTTTGCTTGTAATATGTAACAATCTGAATTCTCATCCATCATGATAAAGTTCACTTTATCCCATTGGCCTCACAGTTTTGCCCCCTTGATGTAACTTCCCATGAGGCGCATCCCAAGTGTGCTTCTACAAGAGCACACATAACTTTAGAGCTTCTAATGAAATTTCAATTTTTATACCAAAATGAGCCTCAATGTTTAAGAGTTTAGCTTCATTGTACTCAAGGGGTCTCACAATTCTACCCATTTAAGTAACTGATATTCTCATCAATTATTTTAACCTAGAATCATCCACCAGACATATAAAATTCTAGAGGTCGCCCACCATATAGCACTTTGTCCAATCTAAATTTCAATAGATGACTATCATGGTGTAGCACTTTCTTTTGTATGACACTTGACATTTGTAACAGCCCAAACTCTCATCCATCAAGATTTTATCCACTTTAGCTTAATGGCCTCACATTTTTTGTCCCATCGGTGTACTTTCCAGGGAGGTCACCCACCTCATGAGGGCTTCCATATGACGCTTAACTTTAGAGTTTTTTATGAAATTCCAATGTTACACCAAAAGAAGCCTTGATATTTAAGAGTTAAGCTTCCTTTTGCTTGAGGAATTTCACAAAATAAACAACCAAGATTTAACCAAAAATTTTGCTAAATCTTTCTAAATACTTTTTTTAACCCAAAATCATATTACCTTCTTAAAACTCAATTTCAACCCGGTTTAGGCTCTATCCCAAGTTTAGTAAATCCAAGAAGTACAACTTAAGAAATTTACACCACTTCTCCGTACAGTTCCTCTTCTTCTTCTTCAATTAAATCCCAAATTTTAAAAATATCTGCCATAAATTTTTCTATGATTAAATCATAGCTAACATCTATCATGTAAAACATTTTTTTTTTAATTCAACAGGTACCAGATTTATTGAAGCTGCGCTTACAAGCTCAGTCACCCCTAATTGTTTGTAGACTCGTAAGCGGTGTTTGGTATGCTATTTGTAGGCGAATTTACGTATGACTTTAATGTAAACCTGCCTGCCGGCGAATTTACGTATGACTTTAACGTAAACCTGCCAAACACGAATTCAATGCATTTAAATCCCGTCGTCGGCTAACTCCAGAATTTTTTGTGGCGTGGTGGTAATCCCTTATTTATTAAATCCGAACTCGAGGTGGATTTAAGAAAATACTTCCTTCATGTATTAAATCCTGAAAACAAATGTCAATCATTTGTTATTGATTTAACTGGATTTAACCTAAATAATACCAAGCACAATTTTGGATTTAACATGACTAGATTTACTAAATCCGTAATTATCGGATTTAGTTAATCCTACTTAACTTAAATCCAAGAGGAGGCCAAACACCCCCTTAGGGTAACATTTTTCAAGTGATCAAGTGATCAAGTGATATTTACCCTTTCCCTTTACCAAAATACCAAAAATAACTTATATTACAATCCTTCAAAAAATATATATAACTTGCTAGCATGAAAGCAGAAAAAACATTCATATATACTAAATCTCAATTTCCATAATCAGACAGAGTACAAATCTTGAAATGGACAGACCTCCACCATTAAATTTGATAGCACTCTGCAGATGGACGACCTTGGAAGAGTCCCCCTTGTTCACGGCTTCCTCGAGCTGCTCGAGCGCTTTGTTGTAGTTTGTGATGTATGTTTGATGGTGCTTCTGGTGGTGAATCTGCATGATCTCGGCGCTGATGGCCGGTTCGAGTGCACTGTAGTCGTAAGGCAAATCAGGAAGCGTGAATGTTTGCAGAGCTCGAGATTGTCGGTGCCCTAATCCTCCCACCGCCATGGATTTTCCCACACTGGACCAAAACCCTAGGGTTTTCCTCGAGGCAGAAGCTCGGAGCGCCATGATCTCAGAGGTGCCGTATTCCCTGGACAGACCGGCTCGGATATAAAAAGAGTAAGCGTTGCTATGAAATGTGAGAGTTATGAAAGTAATATATTTTAGGAAGTTTTATAGGCAATTCTTAATTATTTCCATATGTAACACTAGAACTTTAATTCATATCTATATGTTATTTCATCTAAACATAAAAAAAAGTATATTCTAACTTTTAAAAGTTAAAATACTAATATTTTTATGTAATACGAACTTTGTGTTTGTGTCTATCAAAATGAGTCACGTGAATCTCGAAGATATATCACGACCCGCGAAAGAAGACAAGATGACATTGTGCCCCCTCCCCATAGACAATTTGATATTTCATGTCTAGCCGACGTGCTCTCATAGATCGAGAGGAAAGTGTTTCCCAGACTGATGGAACACGACCACATTTCTATAAATCAATTTATAGGCATGAATCTCGTGTGGGTAAGTCATGCCCTCTTTTTCTAGCCTGATCGGATGAGCGAAGCGAATTATTTTGCCCTGAGACAATTTGCTGAAACTTTCCACCCAACATGAATAGGAATAAACTTTCAACAAATAATAAAATTGATAGTTTGCACTGGCAGCCAAAAGAAGCCTGGATGTTATGGGCTCTAAGCTTTGTCGGGTATAACATTCTTCTGGCGGGAGTTCATGTAATTAGCTAAAACAACCCCACTATGTCTACGTACACTAGAGGTACATTATGCAGGCATGAATCTCGTGTGGCTAAGTTATGCCCTCTTTTTCTAGCCTGATCGGATAAGCGAAGCGAATTATTTTGCCCTGAGACAATTGGCCGAAACTTTCCACCCAACATGAATAGGAATAAACTCTCAACAAATAATAAAATTGATAGTTTGCACTGGGCCCCCAACAAATAGCCTCCCTGCCAAAAGAAGCCAGCTTGTTATGGGCTCCAAGCTTTGTTGGGCATAACGACCTTCTGGCGGGAGTCCTAAAGGCTCCCAGCCTAATATTCATGTAATTAGCTAAAACAACCCCACTATGTCTACGTACACTAAAGGTACTTTATGTAATTATACATCCCCTCACTCCTATGGATAGGAGTAAATTCCATAAATAAAAGTTACGTAAATTAACTATTTCATACTGTATTTTTGCTCTCCCCCCCCCCCCAAAGCACTATATTCCTTATGTGTGTGTCTCAAACAATTTTGGATTTAATATCTTGAAAGATGGACGTAAAGTCATGTTATCGACAAGGAGAGAAGCACAACAATCGCAGAGAGAAGAGAGTGGACAGAGAGAAATAACTGACTGTCGGCACTATTTTTGGTGTGGAGTTTGCCCGTAAGAAGCTGTCGGTCATTGGAATTGAAATCCCGTTGCCCGCTTCAGAAGGACGTTAAAACAATTTAGTTTTGAAAAATACGAAGTCAAACTGACCCCATAATTTTCATAGTTTAAATGGAAGAGCACTTTACCTCAAATTCTGTATCTATCCCAAAGGATGAATACAAGAATTGAAGGGTGAGGCTCGATCAAATAAACTAGAGAAAGTCATGACATCCGTTTGATCACGGAACCAATATATTGGCTAACAAATTCCCCTATTTAATATAAGGAATTAAATAGGGTTTATATTGTGCTGGGTTCGGGAAAAGCTTCCTATAAGGGCAAAATGAGAGCCTACACTCTTATATTCTTCATTTCCAGAGGGAAATGCTGAAGTTAGATAACCTCTGAGCTGAAATGACACAAGTTATTTTAAAGCAAAAATTGAGGTCATAAAGAATCTGTTTCGACCTCAGCGTACAAGAACCTAAAAACTTTGTCGAGTTGTTGGGCATGGCCAATAAGTACATGCTCGCTGAGGAGAGCACTCCTAAATCAGAACCAACAAAGCGTTAAACCTTGAAAAGGGTTTCCCCAAAAGACCCTTGGCTTTATTACCTTACCTATCCAATTTGGATTCTTTAAGAGCGAAGTCAAGTTTCATGTGATTGATATGAACTCGTCTTTTAGAGCTATGCTTAGACTCCCATGGATCAATGAGTATGGGATGATACCTTTGACTCTCCAGCAGTGCATTAAATACATGCATGGAGAAGAAGATTTCTCCCATTAACGAAGTAGGAGTATATCATGATGTCAAAACTATGTACCCTCTAAAAAGGAATCTCCTCCAACTTTAGATATTGCAGGATATTAACGTTTCCTTCCACGTTTTGGTTCTCTCCTAGCCAAAGGCAAGGAGGTGATGAGCGGGAGATGGCGTGCATCTGTGACTGCACAACAAGGTCATGTGATCCCTACTCTACCACCAGCTAAGATGAAGATAGAAGCCATATTGGTCTTTTATTCTGATCTGGATGAATCTTTGCTCATAGGCCTCTCGATGAGCTTGCATTGTCCTAACTAGAAGGGCACAAACAAGGAGATGCTCCTCATACCTTCAACGGGCATGGTTCCCCATGCATGCAAACTTTCTTGTCAGACAAGGTGTTGACTATCGACCTCATACCACGATGTCATCATATGGATATGAAGATATGCTTCTACAGTTCAAGAATTGAAGTTCTTTTATATACATCCTAGACCTAAGTTTATGGAGAAAAGACATTTTATTTTATAAAATAGATTCTCACGTGATTAACAACAATATAATGATTTTAGATAATGGGAATGAAAAAGCAAAAGATATTTTTAGTTCTTATTATTGCTCCCCTCTCTTTGATTGAACGCTTAATTTTGAGTTATTTCATGAGAAGTGGTCTATTTGCAAAGCCAAGCTATGCAGGGCTATGTGGCAGAATAGACCCTTAGGGGAGAGGTCTGGATTAGGCTATGTTAAAATGCCTAATAAAACCATACTCCCTCGAGCCTCATGTAGGTTAATTTCTAAATCTGAAGGCTATTAGTGAGGAGGTTGAAATCAAGGACACCTCTCCTGAGCTTGAGGACAGTGTCTCTTCAACTTTTAATGATTTGATCGAAGTCAACCATGGTACTGTTGATGATCCTCATTCAACTTTTATGAACAAACTCTTATATGATTATATGATTGTTAATTAAAATCATAGAGATCTTGAAAGAAATTTGTGACTGTTGTTGACATTAATTTTTGTTGTCACGAATGTAGGGTGTCAATTTGCATGACTCAGGATAGTTTATAGTCTGTCTGTAACATCTGATGATTCAAACACCCACTCGGGACCTTTAGACGCGTGTTGAGGGGCACTTAGCGAAGGTCATTCTGCTAGGCTATGACTTTCTCCTAGGTGAAGGCTGGTCGACATTTCACGCGTCAGACAACTCTGATGAGGTCAACGAATATTATGTGCACGTAACGCGCGAAATTGACTCGAACTGAATCGATCGTCAGCAAAGTTGTACAGATAACCCTGGACGACAAAACGGACCGCGCTAACTCGTCCGGAACGTCGATTTTACCTAGGAATTACACCTATCTTGTTTGGGTTCCGTGCATGTGCGAAAAATGCCCAAAGAGAGGAGTGTAAATAAAAGTTATTATTATTACTAAAAAAAATAAATTCCCTATTTTTAAACCAATCTCACGTGACACTCCCCTCTCCCTCACGCGATTGGCCAGAAAATCCCTCGCAACTGCCACTCTTTCTTTTTTGCAAGAAAACCCTAGCTCGTGATCGGGACTCCCTCGTCGTTGGTCTCGTCGTCACCGGCGACCGATAACCCCCTTCTCACTCTTTAAGCTCGACGCGTCCTTCCCCGTCGCGTCCTTCTCCGGCGCAGGTAGCCTCCCTACTTCGGACCATCAGCCACCCTAGTCGTCGTCTCCTCCCTTCTTCGGTGTGACCCGGAGACAGCAATTGGTCGGCATCTCGCCGACACCGCCGCTCTTGCAGACAGCGGATGACCTTCTCTCTGGCTTCTCTTCTTCTCAAACCGTTGTTTTCAAAAAAATAAAATAAAAAAAAATCTTGGTCGCACCTCCTCCTTTGGTCCTAGCCGGCAACGTCCCCCCGGCCTGTCTCGACGCCGATGTCCAGATCATGCCGGTCATAGCCTCTCTCCTTCGTGTGAGATATGAGACATGCCGCCCCTTTACCTCTTTGGCAGGCGGCCTCGCCACACCTTGCTACCACCGACAACCTCGCATGCTTTCTTCCTCTAGCGGCCAGCAACTTGAGCCGTCGATGACCTCGTTGTATCTCCCTTACTGGAGCTTTTAGCAAGGAGATGGCATCGTGACATTTAGGAGTCTGTCTGACCCTTCTCATTAAGGTATACAATTCAGTCAAATTTCCATATTATTCGATGTTTATTTTCAAATACTTTACATACCTCACTAAATCCTATCGTCATTGGCTCGTTCTGTTGTTTTATGCACGTTCTACGAGATATGCTGGAGCACGGACCAGACGTCGATGACCTAGAGCAAGCAAAGAAAACACGTCTGCAACCGTCGAGACCTTTAGGCGAGTGTTGAGGGGCACGTATCCAAGTTCATTATGTTAGGCTATGACTTTTGCCTAGGCGAAGGCCAGTCATCATTTCACGAGTCGGACAACTCCAATCGGGTCAACAAATATTATGCGCCGCGTCACGTACGAAATTGACTTGAATTGTCTCAATCATCAGCAAAATTGTCCAGATAACCCCGAACGACAAAATGGGTTGCGCAAATACGTCCGTAATGTTGATTTTACCCGGGAAGGACACATATCTTGTTTGTGCTCCATGCACTTGCAAAAAATGCTCAAATAGAAGAGTTTAAATAAAAAAAATCTTTATTATTATTATAAAAAAAATAAATTCCCTATTTCTAAACCTGTCTCACGCGACACACCCCTCTCCCTCGCGCGATTGACCAAAAAATCCCTCGCAGCCACCACTCTTTCTTTTCCACAAGCAAACTCTAGACTCCTTCATCGTTGGTCCCCCCGCCGGTGGAGGCCGACAACCCCCTTCTCACTCTTGACCCCCCCCGCCTCCTTCCTGGGCGCAGGTAGCCTCCCTCCTTCAGACTGTCAGCCGCCCTAGCAGTCATCTCCTCCATTCTTCGGCGCGACCCAGAGACAACAACTGGTTCGCGTCCCGC